ATATAAAACACAAGTTACCAAGCCCCCGGCGACGGGCCTCCCTTCGCTCGCTCATCATAAGTTAGGCTTTATCTGTATACTTGAATTGGGATCCAACATAACATAAAAGATAATGTGTTTTGCGAGCATCCCCTTTCTGATTATATCAAGATCAATGTTGACACCAGTTTTGAGGAGAACATCAGCGCCACTAACATGAGGGTTGTTCTTAGAAACACTTCTTGCAATGTCATCATCTTTTCATGGGGTTTTATTGGACGGTGTGCTAGTGTTAATGTAGCTGAGCTTCGCAATCGTCGGGCTTTATATCGGTATCACACTTCAAAAGTCTATTATTTTAAAGTCCGATTATGTTTTCGGAGCTGCTTTCCCGCCAAATAAGAACCTTGACAAACCGCCTCTCATTGATCAGAAGGAGGCATTAAGTATCTATAGGCTGTTGCATAATTTCAAAATGTCTAAAATTAATCGGCTTGCCAATGGAATGGCCCGTGAGATTGCAAACTATAATTTTGATAATAGGTCTGACTCTTTTTTTAGGTGACTAGCAAAAAGGACCGTGCGCTGCAACGGGAGAAAAAAATACCACACGCTCTTAATTTACAAAAAAATGGTCTATAATCTGATAATTTGTAGCTACGGCCCAAACAAAGATGGTCTTAGCCTACAAAAGCGCAGTTCAAGATTCCACAGGTATTCTATTTCAACACGACTTGTATGTAGATTTAATCCATACAAAGAAACGGGCAAGTGATCATGCATTTATTCATGTCATGTGTGAAACAGGGTATTGTTACGGGTCGGTAAAGAAAAACGACAAAAACAGATGATGACACATTAGCACACTACGGAGACATGTGCGCATCAAAGGGCGGTTTTCAGTTTAAGCATCACCAACTTAGGATAACTCTTAAGCACTTTTTTCACATGCATATTTCTTAAATAAATGAAGAGTTGTTAAAAAGATACATGCTTTTTAAGCATAAAGAGAGATTTTCTTTGTTTTAAAAAGAACATTTTTGTATGGTCTCCTGTGTACGCAGGTACTTGCTTCCATATTTCATCACTATTTCTTGCCATACATGTCATAGGTATTGGTCCCTGTTTGATCATTATTTATATCTTGTCAAACATGTATTTTATTTTATTTTTTGTCATGCATGCCTGCTTTTTACTTTTTGCCATGCATGTCCTCTGTTTCTTCTTCTTATATATAGGAGAATAGCGCAACATCTCATCTTTATCGGATCTCTTTGCATTTTCTCTTTTATTCTTTTATAGCGGACATCCCATCTTTATTGGGTCCTTCTTTTATTTCTTGCCATGCATGTCCCTTATTTATTGAGTGTCCCTAGCAAATTTATCTTCAATTTCGTGTTCAATCCTGATTTTGCTGATGTGTGGTATGACAGAAAGACAGATAATGCATTATTGATTAAGGTTGCACCCTAGACAGTACTTTTTAATTTTTAATAGGTAAAATTACATCATATTCATATTCTACATATTTTTGTAATCAAAATTCATATAAAACATGTTAAATTTGGAGTTATGGTTTAGAATATATGAGTATTTAAAAAAACATTTAATATCTATTGCGGGTTTAATGTCAGAAAAATCAGGGGTTTTCTATAAAATAGCATGACGGACTAAGAATACCTATTTCTTTTATTAGTAGGTATAGATATAGAGGTTTAGAAGATATGAGTATTTTAAAAACATTTGATATCTACTGCGGGTTTAATGTCAGAAAAAATATGAGTTTTTCTATAAAATAGCATGACGGACTAAGAATACCTATTTATTTTATTAGTAGGTATAGAGGTTTAGAAGATATGAGTATTCTAAAAAACATTTGATATCTATTGCGGGTTTAATGTCAGAAAAAATAGAAAATTTCTATAAAATAGCATGACGGACTAAGAATACCTATTTCTTTTAGGACATCGATAAGTGCCGACCGTTCGGCTTGGAGGAGCACCAGACCGAACGACTTGTTCGCTCGAGGATGCACCTTTTTACCGAACGAAAAGGTTCGGGACGAAACCCCTCCAGCCCGAACTATCCCCATCAGCACGATCTGAAAAAGGCCCCAATAGCCCATTTTCTTGGGCCTCTTCTCAGACGTGAATAGAAAGCCCCCAAAATTAGGAAAAGTAAAACAAAAACAAAAACAGTAAAAAATGAAGAAGAAAAATGAACTCCTTGCCTTCAAAAAAATGTTTAGTGTAAAAAATGCCATGGTTGCTGATCCACTTTCATTAACGAAAAGGCATTAACAAATCAGTTTGCCATGGTTAACAAAGGTAAAAAAATGCCATGTTTCACACAATAAAAATGTCATGGTAGCAGGAAATAACTTTGCAATGGTTAAAAATGATTATTTGGATATGGAAAAGATCTAGAATTGCCATGGGTGTAACTTAAAATTGCCCTGTTCGAAAACGAGAAATTTGCCATGGCAAATAAACATCTTAAGTAACCATGGTAACGTTCTTCGAATAAGATATGACAACGGCACTACCACGTCTTAAGTTGACATCACTACGAAGTCTACACTACGAAAAGTTGCCATGAAGTTTGCATATATAGGATACAACATGGGAAAAGAAATGAAGTTTACACTACGAAGTTGCCATCATGGCAACATATGAAAAAATATATATGGTGAAAAAAATGTTTCTCTAAACACATAGAATTTTAAAAAAAATGGAGAAAGCATCTTAACTTGTAATGACATCGTACATGTAATCGCCATGACAAGACAAATTTTAAAGAAAGAAAACATTTTTCCGTGGAAAAACAAATTGGAAAGAACAAAACTTGCCGTCTTCTCAAACTAATATGTAATGGCCATGGCAAACATTCTTCGGTACCAAGGAAAAAAATGCATTTAGTTGCCATGGAAAAAACACATCTATAAAAAATACTGATTTTAGTTGCCATGGCAAGTTTGCCATGTTTTCGAACATCTTTAGTTGCCATGGCAAGTTTGCCATGTTTTTTTAACAAACTTAACTAAAAGAAGTTTGCCATGTTTTTGAGCGTCTTAAGTTGCCATGGCAAGTTTGCCATGTTTTTGAGCATCTTTAGTTGCCATGGCAAGTTTGTCGTGTTTGTGAACATCTTAATTTAAAAAGTTTGACATGTTTTTGAACAAACTTAATTAAAAGAAATTTGCCATGATGCGTAGATCATAGTTATCATTGGTCGTTAGCTAAATTTGTCATGGTCAAGAAAGCAAAATTTGCCATGATACATAGACTAATTCAAAAAAGTTAAACTGCCATCGTGCATGCTCTAAATTTGCCATGATGCATAGACTATAGTTGCCATGGGCCCAAATTTGTTGTGGTCTAGAAAGAAAATTTGCCATGGTCAATTTTTTTAAAATGTCATGGTGCATACACAAAATTTGCCATGATGTGTAGACTATATTTGCCATGCGCCTAAATTTGTCGTGGTCTAAAAAGGAAATTTGTCATGGCCAATTTTAAAATGAAAAAAATGACATGGTACATACCCTAAATTTGTCGTGGTGCATAGATAAATAGTTGCCATGGGCCATTAACTAAATTTGTTGTGGTCCAGAAAGCAAGAAATGCCATGATGCATAGACTTAATTTTAAAATAAAAATGGTCATGGTAGATACACTAAAAATTGCCGTGATGCATATACTATAGTTGCCATGATTGATAAACTAAATTTACCATGGTCCCACGAAATATCCATGGGCATGTGGAAAATTCAATAATTCATAAACAATTGAAGTGGTATGAATAGTATATTTGCCATGTTTTTGCACATCTTTAGTTTGTCGTGGCAAGTCTGCAAATGGTTTTGAGCATTTTAAAATGACATGGCAAGTTTGCCGTGTTTTTGAACATCTTAAATTGCCATGGCAAGTGACATGTTTTTGAACATCTATAAATTTGCCATGGCAAGTTTGCATGTTTTTGAACATGTTAATTAAAGAAGTTTTCCATGTTTGCCATGTTTTTGAACAAACCTAATTAAAAGAAGTTTGCCATGTTTTTGCACATAGTTAAGTTTGCAATGGCAAGTTTGCCATGTTTTTGAACATCTTAAGTGCCATGGCAACTTTGTCATGTATTATATCTTTGCCATGTTTTTAGCATCTTAAGTTGTCATGGCAACTTTTTTGATAACTAACTTAGAATTATTTTCTCTCTACAATTTGCCATGGCAACTTTCTAATAAAAACTTAGAATTTTATTTCACTCTAAAAAAATTGCCATGTCAATTTTCTGATAACAACTCAGAATTATTTTCCACTCTACAAAATTGCCATGGCAACTTTTCTGATAACAACTTAGAATTATTTTGCTCTCAACATGCTGCCCAAATCAATGATGCATATATATCAACTCTCTGTTCAAAAATGGCTCTGCTCATTACGCATACACAACGGCATCATACCGAGATAAGAAGAATCACAACAATATGTCACTGAATGATGGATTGGGTATGCTCACCGATAGCAACAATGGTGTACGGCGGCACGCAAGATCGAATCGAAGGGGACCGAGGCGCCTGGCGGTGTCCAGGAGGCGAGCACGAGCGTCGTGGCCGAAGCCCTGTCTCTGGCGCAGCCCTTCCGAGCCTTTGAGTGGAGCGCCGTCACCCGGTCAGCGCTGCCCCCTGTCTAGGTCCGACTCGCCTCCCCCGAGCTCGCCTTGCCGGAGATGAAAGCGACAGAAGACGTGGGGCGACACGGCGGGGGACGCCGATGGAGCCTCGCGTGGCGCTTCTTCTCCTCCCCCTCCATTCCTCTCTCCCTCCTCCATCACCCCGGCTTTGGGCCCTCCTTCCCGAACACCACGCCTGCCGGCCCCGGTGCAGGTCCGCCTCACCGAGCACCGCGGCCGCCGCCCCCTGTGCCGGCGCTGGGCTTAATGCGGAGGAGCCGGATCCAGCAGGGGACGCCAGTGGAGCCTCGCGCGGTGCCTCTTCTCCTCCCCCTTCCATTCCTCTCTCCCTCCTCCATCTCCCACGGCTCTGGGCCCGCCTCGCCGAACACCATGCCCTCCGCCCCCTGGTGCAGGTCTGCCTCACCGAGCACCGCGGCTGCCGCCCTCCTGTGCCGGCGCTGGGCTTGATGCGGGGAAGGCGGGATTTGGAGGCGCGTCGCCGGGGCCGGTGCGCGTCCATGGAGGGGAAAGCGGTGGGTGGTTTGCTTGTGAGTGGAGTGGGTGGGGTGAGGAATAGTGCGGCTGTAGAGGGACGAGACGTTCGGGACGACATGCTGCTTTTCCGAACGAAAAAACAATGACGCGGCTGGTCAGACATGCTTTAAGATTCGTGATTTGATCCAATGGTCCATAGGACGTTCGGCCCCAAATCCTAAAATACAGGCGTTCGGGGGTTATTGATTCCGTTCTTTTATTAATAAAATAATAAAAATAATAAAAAAGTATAGATATAGAAGATAATAGGTCTGAAGATGTTCTTCTTAAGCACCGCTGTGTGTGAAGTATGATGTAACGAATGATTGTAATAGCTTTTTTAATTGATTAACATATCGGGTGTTTTCCAAAAGAGAAATGACGCTTTACATTTTCTCGATTAATAATACAATTACCGTATGTCATGTACGCGGACTTATAACATTTGAGCTCTGTTTGTCATGGAGTCCTAGCCGGGCGTGTTGCGGGATCTATCTGCATGCTGCGTTACGACCAAGAATGTTTGTTGAAACGCAGCTACGTCATCTTCGATTCGATCTGCTCTTTCACGTCCTGCATCTCATTCAGCTCGGAGAAGACGAGCTCCTCGGCCAGCTTCTTCCGGAACGCGTGCACGTCGTCCATGGAGAAACTCCGCGCCAGCTCCTCCCCGTCCCACAGCTCCATCCACTTCAGCGCGAACAAGCCGCACGACGACTCGTCGTTCTGCTCCGGGAGGCCCGGCTCCAGACGCAGCCTCCATCCGGCGACGTGTGCCCGGCCGGCCTCCTCCATGCACCGCCCCACGCCGTCCCGTATCTTGGACATCGCCTCCTCGTAGAACCGTACGCCGTTGTACCGCGCGTAGTTCCCGGAGTCCAGCACCTGGTACTCGGCCTTGGCGAAGTTGAGCACCGTGACGAAGAAGTGCTCCCTGTGGTTCACCAGGAAGAACACCATGTCGTTCTGGAGGTACCTAGCAGCCGTCGCCGCCACGTCGGCGGCGTCCTGGTCCGTCAGGCGTTCGTCCGTTCTTGGCAGGGAGCCCAGGTACTCTAGCCAGTCCTGCTCCTCGACTCCCAGCAGGAGGACGCGGCGGGTGTTCTTGCCGTGCTCGGCGCCCTGGCGGCGGCGGAGCAGTTCGAGGTATGCGTCCAGGACAACGCCGGAAATCTTCCGCTCCGACCCGTCCTGGGACAGGGGCACGGTCAGGGAGCGCATGGCGTCGGCGCGGACACGGAGGTGCGGCCGCTCCGAGGAAACGAGCAGTTTGTCCTTGCGGTCCGCGTGCACCTTGATGAACGCGATCGTGGCGTCTTCCCGCCGGTCGACGACGGGCGCGGGGGCCTGCACGCGGCGGCTCGCTGGCCGGCTGAAGCTCGTTTGTGAGGTCGTGTAGCTGCTGTGCTTCCCCTTCTTGGCATTCCTTTCGCCGTCGGCGGTCCGTGCATGAGTGGGCTTGAAAGCCATGGCTGACGAGGCTCGCATTGGGCGCACGATGCGTCACATTTATGGGCAGAGAGAGTCGGTGGCTGAGAAAGTGCAAAACACGTGTCCATTCCAAGGTGGATTGGTGAAAAAATTAGCAACTGGACAGTTCGGAAGAGAGAAACTTTAGTGAGTCGGTTGCTACAGTTGCTAAAGGCGGTTGGATTGGAGACGACGGAACGGAAAGACGCAGGTGGCTTTTTTCCTTTTGGAAGGCGAAAGACGGGACAGAAAGGCTTTAGTAACTTGTGATTGCATCCACTAAGCAACGAATCTCCCGTCAAAATGAGAAAAAGACTATAGAAGCAACGAATCTCCTGTCAAAATGAGAAAAGACTATAGAAGCGTCAAAATGAAAAGACTAAAATCTCAAACATAAGTTTTTCGGGTTTGCTATATCACATCTACTGAAATAGTTATCTTTGACGTTTGCCAAAAAACTTTACAATTCGTATTCCTTTTAAAATGTGCACTCTCTTCGTACGCTGTTTGCTTGTCCCATTTCAAAAGAGCTGGCTCGTATAGGTTCTTCTTATTACGGGTTTGCTATTTCACATCTACTGAAATAGTTATCTCATATCTAACTCCTAAGACGTTTGCCAAAAAAACTTTACAATTCGTATTCCTTTTAAAATGTACACTCTCTTCGTACGCTGTTTGCTTGTCCCGTTTCAAGAGAGCTGGTTCGTTGACTGCCCGCTGGCAAAAGTGCTATGGTGGACGGTGCACATAGCCTTTAATATTACTCCTCTAAATTATGTTTGCACGTTATTTGGAACGTGGCTTAATGGGATACAGGCCAAAACAGCGAGACACATTCGCGTAGGAGCATGTGCTTTATTGTGGGCAGTCTGGAACTGCAGAAATGATTTGGTTTTTAATAAAACAACAATTTTTCATTTTTTGCAGGTTATCTTCCGAGCCACTGCTTTAATTCGTATGTGGTCGCTACTCACTCCGATGGAGGCCAGAGAGCGTTTGGTACTGGATCTATCCGGTGGGAGATGGTAGCACGGGATATATTCAACCGGTTTGGATGACGGTCATGTAATAGGATAGGCAATTAGTTTCCTTATCTTGTTCATGCCGGCCGGTTGTGGCGCTATGGTTTCTTTTTATAGGCTCTTTGTGAGCTTTTCTTTTATTTTCATTTCGGATTTATGACCTTTGTTGAACCTTTTTGCTTGTTAATAAAGTTGGTTGTATGCATCATTCTGATGCAGAGGCCGAGGAGTCCTCCTTTTCGAAAAAAAGAGAGCTGGCTCGTATAGGTTCTTCTTATTGTGGGCTGCAATCTATATGGGCTGCTGCATTCTTTTTCTTTTTGTTGTTTCTTTTTTTTTCTTTTTCCTGTTTCATTATTCGTTTCAAATTATAAACTATTTTAGTTTCTTGTTTTTGTCTTTTATTTATATTTTATATTCTTTTCCTTTTCCATTTCTTTTTTTATTCTTTGTTTATTTTGTTTTATATTCATGAAAAAAATCACATTGTCATCTGTTTGGTTTAAATGTCCTGCAAATCTTGATTGCGGATAATCTTCTTGCCATGTCCCGTGTCATGTCGTGCATCTGGTGTCTATCTGTCGACCTGCTTGTGTCTGCGTTTTGTTTTGGACCGTTTTACGACGCGATCTAGGGGTCTCGTTTCAGATTGGTTTTGCTAATTTGCATCTAGATAAGAGTTAACAATGTCTCATCTAACTCATATACCGTTAGATATACGTCTTCTGAGTTGCGCATGTTTTTGTGTTTTTTGTTCGTCCTTTATGAAGCAATGAGACCTGATATGACTTTTTTAGCAGGTCGTTTTTATATTTTGTGTATTGGCTTTATTTTGTGGGATGTATCATTTTTGTGGAGGGTCACCTATCTTTTGATTCCTTGTTTTGTTTATTTTGTTGTATAGTTTCAGAGAGCGCAAGTAGATTGTTTTCTTTCAGATTTGCTAAATCCATCTAGATGAGATTTACCGATGTCTCGTCTAAGTTTATAATCATCTGATTTGTTTAATGTTTGCATAAATTTGATCATGTGCGTTCGTATTAGCTCGTTCTTTTTTGTTGTCCATCCTCTTGTCCCATTTTGTTTTTGTGTCGGCCTGTTCTCGCGTTTCTTTTCACATGGGCTCATACATGTTGTCATTTGGGAGGCACGACCCATTTCCTTTTTGTTCTTTTTGATGTGCATTTTTTGTGGCGTGGTGGAGAAATTGTAGAGTCGACCCTCGACTTGTAAATGGATTCGTACTTGTCCCAGTTGCAAGTTCATTCTTAACTCACAAATGGGTATGTGTTTTGTTTTTCATTCTAGTTGCAAGTCCATACTCGACTCGCAACTGGGCTTGTAGTTTGCTATTGTCCCAGTTGCAAGTTCACTCTCGACTCGAAAAGAATATCGTTGTTTTGTGTAGTTGTCCTAGTTGCAAGTCCGCCCTTGACTCGCAACTAGGTCTATAGTTTGTTTCATCCCGGTTGCAAGTTCACCCTTGATTCGCAACTGGGCTCGTAGTTCATAGTTGTCATAGTTGCGAGTTCGCCCTAGACTCACAACTAGGCCTATAGGTTTTGTAGTTGTCCCAGTTGCAAGTCCATCCTGAACTCACAACTCGTATTATAGTTTTGTTTACTTGTTCGAGTTGCAAGTCCACCCTCGACTCGCAACTCATATCGATGTTTTGTGTAGTTGTTCCAGTTGCAAGTCTACCCTTGAGTTGCAACTAGGTCGGTAGGTTTTTTCATCTTAGTTGCAAGTCGACCCTTGACTCGCAATTGGGCTCGTAGTTTCGTAGTTGTCCTAAGTACAAGTCCATCCTCGACACGCAAATGGCCTCATAGTTGTCCCAGTTGCAAGTCCACCCTTGACTTGCAACTGGGTATGTGTTCTGTTTTCATCCCGGTTGTAGATCTACACTCGACTCGCAACTAGAATTGTAGTTTTTATTGTGTCAGTTGTAAGTTCACCCTTGACTCGCAAATGATATCGTAATTTTGTGTAGTTTTCAAAGTTGTAAGTCTATCCTTGACTCGCAACTAGGCTCATACTTTGTTTTATCTCAGTTGTAAGTCCACCCTTGACTTGCAACTGGGCTCGTAGTTTTATGTTGTCCTAGTTGCAAGTATGTACCCTCAACTCGTAATAGTGCCATAGTTTCGTTGTTATCCCAGTTGTCCATGGGTTTGTGTAGTTTTCCAAGTTGCAAGCCCACCACTCGACTCGCAACTAGAGCCTGTGTTTTTTATCACAGTTGCAAGTCCACCCTTGACTCGCAATTGGCCAATAGTTTATTTCATCCCAGTTGCAAGTCTATACCCTT